ACTCCCCTCAAATTCAAAGACTTTTCAAAGACTGTGCGAACCATGTGCATGGGCGGTAATCTGTAGATTATGTTAGCATATTGAGCTTGCATATTTACACCCAGGTAAGCAGCAGGCTCTTATCGGAGTCGTTTAGATAAACTGTATACTTGCCAAAACGACAACCAGAGAGACATGATACAAGATTGCGTGGCACAGCTTTGCTGTTGATCCCAAGTGCTGCGCGCGGATGAGACGCGCAGTTCCGCGGGATATGCGCACGCGACCGCGACCGCGGGGATGTTCAAGTATAAAGCGCTGTCCGCAGTGGAGATGTGCGACAAATTCGAGGCGCGGCGCACGTCTCCACAGCGGTCAGCGGATGGTCTGTAGTTTTAGAAGATGACAATGATTATATATGGACGATATTCTAGGAATTGGAGATTATAAAACAGTAACAAAAATCGCTCAGTCATGCTCCAGATTAGCTGAATCAAAAGCTTTTTGCACTTCAAACCCGATGTGCCAGTATTTATCACATCTTGGGCTATTGACCTAGCGTTTTGCATATAACATACCCGGCAGGGTTCTCCAAGAGCACTTATAGCCTGGCGGCCTGCCAGGCTATCGTCGAGCCCCGCCATCCTAAAATGCACCCGCCACTCTAAATATCACAGCCGCCATGCTAAATATCATAGCCCCCGGACCCCCCTTGCATGCAAACCGCCTTCGGCAATTTGCAACTAGAACCGTAAAGGCAGCACCCGCCATGCTATAATGAAAAAGCTTGGAGAACCCTGCCCGGGTGTACTAGAAATGTACTAGAAGATTACCTAGTATAGTGAACCTATATTATGCCATTGCATATACAATACCTCTAAATATAAACTTACAATGTATATATAATACATATATATCATGTTATATACTACACTAATGTATTTACAGGTACATTCCATTGAATATTAATTCGAGCATGGAAAACATTGGAGAATTGTAGAATATTAGGTCTTTCATTTAATTTTGAATATTATGAATATGGCTATACAATTTTCTGGAAAATTCGAAAGGAAGTGACTATTCGCACTTATAANCCTCTATGCCCCGCAGAAAAGGTAGGTCGCTGTGATCGCAGTGATATCAGAATTTTTTAATTCTTTTAAATTAGACATAATGCTATGAAAACATTAACAAATAATCACAGCGAAAAATAATGCATTACCGATTATTATGATTTAAACAATTAAAGAATTTTACATAGGCCCAAAGGTGAGCATTAGATGATTCCGCATAGAGAATCCGCCACCACCACAAACAAGGTGTTCTCCCCCAAACTCCACGACAGATGACGCTCTCGCTCATGGGCTCAATCTACTCCACAAATCCTGATCAATATCAATATCCTCATCAATATCATCAATTAATATATCACCAATCATCAATCATCAA